TACCATAAATGATAGTCAGAATGGAGAGAAATATCGCAAACACATTGAAACTGGAATTATGATTTGCACTCTCCCACCTCTCCGAGCATTTGCGATATTTCTCTCCATTCTGACTATCATTTATGGTAAAGCTGGATAGTTTCTTCCATCTATCATTCCAGTAAATTCGCCTATTCAGATTCTGTTCAGCGAAACTTCCGCTATCACATTCACTCCTTCTCAAGCAACCTTCACACTCACACAACAGCAACTGGATCGATTGATTGCAACAAAGAAAAACTATATTCAGTTTCGCTTCAAATATTACCTATTCATCAGTCTTAAAAGTGAGTACCATTGATCTGAACGAATTCATCATTAAAGAATATTAGAGATAATTTGATTGTCTTTACTCAAGCACTCATTCAAATTTGCACTTTCTATCTTCCATCATTCCATAGGGAAGGCCGAGTCTATCAAACGCACCAATCAAGGTCATTTACATAAGGCTAAACAAATCGCTTCCTCCTTCCGCCCATTTAATTAATATGAACATATGACCAACACCATAACCAATACCGCTTTTGTCTTTTGATAGGCCTAAATACCATCACGATTCTCTCAAAACAAATCAAACAAAACGCCAATCACAGATTAACAACTCACGTTTCATTTGTCGGGTGTTCAGCTGCAGATATTGTTGGACCGTATTGACCTGACAAGTTAAAAGATGCCCTAGGTGTTATACTACGTGATAATGACGAAGTCTGAGAACTCTCAATAGTGCTATCTACCTCCCTCTTGGACACGGATGAAGTCTTCTGGTACTTGTTCACAAAATTATAAACGCTTAAAGGAATATTGTTGGAAGTTCCAGAATATCCGTTACTGATTTCTGATGCCGTTTTTGAAAGACGCCTCGATTGGTCACCATTTCGCTTAAGACAAGCCACATAATCCGAGTTAGCATACCACGAGGACACAGTGACTAATGGTCAAATTTATTCAATAACCTTACTTCACTCAAAGCAAACAGTCCTGTAATCTTCGCCAATTTGGTGGACGTTTCCGGAGACTGATCGTTGAGTATAATTTCCAATGACTCGAGACAAATCTCAGCACGCAAAAGAGCTCCTTCTATTGTTTCTTGAAGACGTTCTATAGCAACACTCGCATTCTCACTATTCATCTCTCCACGTCGGTCAACGTAATTCTTGTATCTCAACTGCAAATCTAACAGACGACTGAATAAGACCGATGAGTACTAGAAAAGTAGGAAACACAATAGTCGAGAAACCGATTCCGAGTTGAATGAAGTAACTACTAAAGTTAATCCCCACCATAGTTTGGTGTGAAGTAGCACATTCATGGCACAAATAGCGATCACAGTGTTTGCAGAGCTCACAAATTTTACAATTCGGTCGTTGACAATTTGGGCAGGAAGATATTTCAACCGACTCATTTTTCAACTTAAAATCGCGAACCTCCTTTCCAATTTTCTCTTCGAACTTTATATTGTCTATTGGAGAAGCGAAACCGCAAGAACTGCAGTAAATTCTTGCTCCGTCAGTTTGAAATGACAAAATGCAAGGTGAAAGACAAAAGACGTGTCCACAGTCCAAGGAATGTGGATTGGTGTAGCTAAAAGAAAATGAATGGAACATTTTCGTGCGACATGTCAAATTTAAAATTCGAGACATTATAACGCACATATTACGGCAATATTCACATGTCATTTGGCCAAAATTACTTGATGACGCCGAAATCATGCCTAAAAATTATAGAATTCTGCCATAAAAACACAAAAAACTGAACGTTTGCCAATAATTTGTCCAAAAAATCTATTCTTTTAATGGCATATACTATAGCACTTTTGAAGTAACAAAAATTAGAGTCTTTGGAACACAGTTTAATTTGTTAGTGCAGGCCGCAAATTACCACAGGCAATTCTTGTTCACAAATCCGCCAAATAACTAACACTCAAGGTGAAATTTAAAGATAACTGCTTACTTAGCCGAAATTTGTTTCTTCGATTTTGTAAAAGCTTTATATTTTGTTGTGAAACTTATGAGATATTGTTAAAAAAATTTATTCCATTATTCAAAACCCTCCTATATATTGGTTAAAGCAAAATTAACACAAGTCAATAAGTAGAAAACGGAATAATAAACTTAATATCGAAATGTGGTACTAAGACACGAAGTCTGTACAAATTTTTGCTTTTTAAGTTTCATTTTAAATTGAAACAACTCTTTATTTTACTATAAACCAGTAAAACACTCGAACAAAATGTCAGAAATTTTTTAAATGCATTTTAAGTTTGTAGAACCTCATTTATACTAATTTCAAGCGCATCATTTCTAGTTATTAGAAAGAGTAACTAATTCTGATCATTGAATTTTTCATCGTAGCCGAGTGTTCTAAACTAGAAATTTTAAACATAAATATGCTCATTTACACTTATGCCAATATTCTACTTATAAATTCGATTGCCGTTATTCACTAAATAAGATCCTCCTACGCAGTGAACGGAACAAGCAAAGGTGGGCTAGTTTGAAATCTGATTCAAACTTAATCACTTATTTAAAACTGCACAAATGAGCAGAATGAAGTTATCACATGTTCCGTGAAAGTATTTTCTGTTCAGTTCGATAGTCAACTCCGTTATTGTCAGTATATCAAATACAAGCTTTTTACAACTGTGTTTAAGAATGAAATCCTTGCTCCATTATGGAGGCAAAAGCTATATGTCAACTCCAATTTGCTAGAAATATTTCTTTCCTCTGTGAAAGAGACCATAGTGAGATGAAATTCTTTTCCTTCTTCTTCATCTGAGGTTTGAACACCTGAAGTCACGTGCAAGAACTTCCAAAGTCCACTAGAAGAAATTTTCTTAATACAAACTCATTGTAAAATCTTCACAAACCCCTGATGTACAAAATTATCCAGGCGCTTTTTCTACGACATCAGTGAGTATGTACTGACGTGCATTACACTCGTGACTCTTTCCATCTTAGATTCATAAGTACATCACAGCATCGTCGATCAAGAGGAATACCAAATAAAACATGTTAATAACACAAAGTCAATCTAATCATGCCAATAACAAATTTAATAACTCAACAACGCATCACAACTCTAGTGTTTAAGTAAAATCGACAGTTATTGCAAGCATTTTATAATGTATGCAAACAAGCAAATCAGTTGTTCCGTCAAAGTAAGACGAAATGAATATGGCATACTTTATTAAGGTATGGTAAAGTAACCTCGTGTTTTCGAAGTTCCCCTTAGAATTTCATATCTCCATGTCACCCTCTGATTTCGGTTCACATCTGGGTTACATAATCTCAATCAATTTTCTATTCTCCAAGTGAAATTCATGCTCATTGAACATCCTTACCTAGTTACCGTTGATGATTACTTTAACCGTTATAAATATCGACTCAGGTACAGAGGAGAAGCAGTAGAAGTTTCCCTGCACCAGAATTGGCTTTTAACCCACTAAAAGTGACAGATGCTTCCAAATAACGAAACCGACCTCTCATTTCAATTCACCATTCTCCAAAAATCACAGCCATGAATTCTCACCCAGATGTTGCAAACCGGATCCCAATCTCTACCTTCCCAGCACTAATTCAATAAGCAAGCAGCCTTACATATAATATGATGACTAGACAAATTCGGACGAATGTGGAATTTATTCTCTTTAACTGACAAATCACTTATCTCATCCTTCAATATTTATTCTAACCAATTGGTGACTGATTAAGGCACAAATCCAATTACTCAAAAAAGTGCAAAAACACGCATCTTTTCTCACTAACCATGTTCCAAGATTGGACAGAATAAAAGACATCCACACATTATAGCAAAATCGTCGATAGCAATATTACACTACATGACACATTATCGACTGACATTTGATCAATGCAAGGATGAAGAATCTGAAACCGATTGAGAATCTGCAGATCTGTTGTCTGTCTGCTGCAGGGATTGAATCGAAGGCGACTGGGACAATGATGATTGCGATGGCTTTTGTGGAAGCTCACTCTCTGGCAATGGAATCGAAGATTCCCTAAAACAGGACCAAATATCATTAGGAATTTGATGACGTAGGAATTAGGAAAATACCCTGGTAGTAATTTGCCTCATCAGAGTGAAAATGTGCAAAAAATGGGCTTATAGAAATATCGGAAGTCACTAAATTTCATTTATCATTTCATCTTCACAACACAATCATTTGAACCAGGGTAGTGTGTGAGCTTGAATGAGCCTTGAAAACATTTAAATTGATGTCATGAACAAACAAGGTCACTCGTTCTCTTACCTAAATGACAACTGAACTTCGATATCTCCTCTTCATTTCCTCAGACAGGTTATCATCAGTACTAAGAGTCTATCGAACATACTCAGATAAGAACTCTATAGTGTTTTCTCAAAGAAATGCATCACTTCTCACTTACCAGATTCCACGATTGGACATAATAAAGGCATCCACACTTTCTAGCAAAATCGTGGATAGCTTTATTACACTTAATGACATTTGCGAATGAAATTTGATCAATGCAATGTGTACCTTAAAAAAGAAAAATCTGAACGTGATTGAGATTCCGTGGTGCCTATGTCCGATTGTTGAAGGGATTGAATCGACGGCGACTGGGACAATGATGATTGTGATGGCTTCTGTGAAGACACGATCTCTGACACTGCAGTCGAAGATTCCCTAAAGCATGATCAAACATCATTATTAATTAGAAAAATAACTTGGTAGTTAGTAGCCTCATCAGGGTGAAAATATGCAAAAATGGATTAATAGAAATATCAGATATCACAAAATGTCATTGGTCATTTCATCTTCACAACATAGTTCACTTGAGCCAGGGTAGTGCGTGAGTTTGGATGAGCCTTGAAAACGTATCAAGTGATGTCATGAACAAACAAAGTCTCTCCTTCTCGTACCTAAATGATAATTGGACTTCGATAACCTCCTATTCATTTCCTCAGACAGTCGACGCTCACTACTTAGAGAGAAATCGAACATCCTCAGACAAGATCTCTATAGTTGCCTCTTATTTTCCCATATCTCCTTCATTTTATGGTCCATATGCTGCTTCGTACCAACTAATCCTACCAACATGGTTTTTCTTAACTAAGAACTACTCAGATCCCGTCTCCTCCAATCCCAAGAAATTGGACTTGTGAAAACATGTGGTACCATGGTCTGCCATATCTCTAAAGTATTTAGGATTGTTTCTCATGAAGGAGACTTCTATCGAAGACTGAATAATAACGCATTAGTAGTGAACGTCTTTGTCCACCTTTGCCCGTGAGTGAATAGAACCAGTCTGCAGATAATGAAACACCACCTTCCACATCTCTTGAGCAGCCAACCAAGAGGATCGCACCTTGAAGCAGAAGGCTTCTGTGAATCTTGAAGAGCAGATTGAGTAATGGACAACCTTCTGCGTGCCCATGTTCCAATTGAGACAGGTTGACCTGACGAGGAAGGAGGTTCAACAGAATCTCTATAAAAAGAAGAAGAAATATATTTAGTCATTATTAATGACGAAAATTATACACTCATCTTAAATTCAAAAGGAAAACGGAGCGTCGTCTAACTCGAAGCCAATATTCCACAGCTCTAAGGGGAGCTTCCACGGGGTTAAATAAAAAAAGATACTTGCAAAACTTCAATCATGCACATTGAAGATAAAGGAAGATGTGAATTTCAAGAATAAATCTATGGTATTTGATCCATGTGACTTCTCTTGTTCTTCATTTAACTCTTTAGAAGTTTCGGATGTTAGCTCTTGGAGAGATGTCAAAACCGCTCTGAATGAACGGATTATGAATTTTATTCTGATCCCCACACATTTACAGACGTAGGTATGATTAAGTTGAAGCCACTTAAACTAATTAAACGACTGAAAATGCTTAAACGGCAGAAGGGATGATGAATAGATACTAATAAGTATCTATCGAACATCCTCAGACAAGATCTCTACAGTGTTCTCTCATTTTCCCATATCTCCTTCATTTTATGGTCCATATGTTGCTTCGTACCAACTTATCCTACCAACTTGGTTTTTATTAACTATGAACTATGTGAACTATTAACTATGTGAACTACGTAATTACCTAAGATAAGCTGGAATTCGACTATCGTGAAATGCCTTGAATGGGCAGCCATTTACTAAATGATAGTGTGCAGACAGAACATTTTGAGCCTCCGCTATAGTAGAAAATAAGAGGTATCCCTTGCGATTGGATTGTTTCATAGTAATCCGTTCCACAGTTCCAAACTTCTCGAAGAATGTCTTCAATTCATCTTCTGATGGAATTACAGTCAACTTCATTTCATCGAACGTTTTGTCAACAAGTTGAATACGGACCCAAGGTGAAGTTGCAATAAATTGTCTTGGCTCAGTGCTGACGGCTCTAAATGGGGATAAAATTGTAGGGGTAACAGGAGAAATATTGAAATTTTCTTTAATTACTACTTGTTTACACATAAGAACAATCTTAGCTTTGTAGCAACATTAAGTAAGCATTTTTTGGCTGGATCCAATTAAATCTATATTCGTTGATGCATAATCAGCAATGAGGTTACCCTGCAATTTTGGTGTATTCCAGTACTTAATAATAGTATGACCTTATTTTTTGAAGAACTTCTCATAAGAATTAATTTTACATCTAAAGTAGAAACATAGGGCACAAGTTCAATCAAAGAGTTTTTAAAAGGCTTTGTTCAATCAATTGTCTCTATTAAATCCACCACTTTCTCACTCAAGCACACTCCATTTTCGTTGTACCAAGGAAAGCTCAATCCCTCATTGTGGCTCATGTGTTCACTTCTTTACCTAGACTCACGAGCATATCGACTTGTGAGAACTGTGCTCTTCAATCGTCATCCACCTGCCTTGCTCCCAAAGCCAACTTAAATGCCGAGTTTTGCCTGATTAAGGCAGAGATATAAACCTAATAGCACACACTGTGCCTAAATGTTAGCCAAATACATGCATAAAATTGGTAGGATATTTCATTTTCAGTGAGAAATTGAATCAATTCACTCCTACTCT